CCATGTCTTAAATGTAAAAAATATTTATAGACAATATTGTTTTTCAATGAATCATTTAATTGAAAAACAAAAGACAGAAGAAATAGAAAATCTTTTCTGTCTTTTAATGGTTTTGTTTTTTATTGAAGATTAATATAATTTTGATTTGTCTTTCATTAAAGTTATAACATTTACTTTTGTTCGCACTTTTATCTTTTATTTTTCTGTTCTGTTTTTCCTTTATGCATTGCTGTGATCAGTGATAATATTTTGTATAGTACGAATAAATGTATACTATATGTATTTGTAGATAATATCTTACAAGTGCACGAACATAGTGAATTTGAATGTGTGTATTATTACGTCTTGTTTCATAAAACGAAACGAATAGGAAAATCTAACGTGTTTTTTTAAACTATAAGCTATTTTATTGAATTGAAAGAATTCGATATTTTTTTCGAGAATAACTTCAACAAAACTATTTAATCAATTGTTCGAATAAATTCTTTCATAACTTTTCACTCTATATTGTTAAGAAAAAAACCGTTCTTTTTACATGTATCGTTTAAATTTATGCTTTCGAAAATTTACTATTGACATCAATCTCTCACAAGGAGACAAGTGGTTTTTTAGTTAAAAAAATGTCAATAACTATTGATCTTCATTTTCATTATTATAGTGTGTTGTTTATCTATGCGGTTTCGTAATTACTGAAATGTTTTAAAATGTAAAGCATGATTTAACACCATCAAGGTTATCTAGTAATAACATAACCATAAAATTTTTATTAATTGCTTTTTTTTCTGGTACTCAGAACTATTTGAAAACAGAAATGATATGTTTTCATGAAGAATATCAGATAACACGTCAGATAAATGAAGTATGTAGACGAAGATTTAAAGTAGTTAATTAACTTTTGAACATGATTGTTTGATAGAAGAGAATAGTTTATTGTACGAGAAAAATGCATATAGAACAAAACAGAAGTATTCTGTCTCTTAAAAAATCTTGAACTTTCAGAAACGATTTGTTAGAAGTGCATACGACTGCCATCACTTGGGTTTCTCTAAAGACAAGAGTTCTCATGCACTTTGTTAATAGTGACATTTGCTTAAGTAAATTTATTTGTTGTACAATTCAGACGAATAGTCTATTGAATCTTTACACTGTACATATGTAAATAGAAGGTAAACTACTATAATTACATATTAATTAATCTCCGATATATAAATTGTACAGAAAAATCAGTGAGATTGACTTGCAAAATTGACAGACCATAAATAATTAATATAGAAAAAAAAGAATCAGATAAATATATACATGCATGAAACTAATCTATTTGCGAAAAATCATCAACAATATTTTTGAAGCTCTGGTTTGTGTAATTAAATTTAGTTTAGAAATAATAATTTAACAGTATTGTTTAAGAATCTAATATGAAGAAATAGAATAAATGTTCTTTTAAAATTATAATAAAAATAATATAAAAATTGATTTTTTTTCAAGACTACAACTCTTGTCGATATATATGGAGTAGAACTATCTGAACATGAATCTGATTTTTCTCAAAATTAAATTAAATATGATAGTTTGCAGATATTACTTGTACCTTGTTGTTTTTATTAGACAGAGTTGTCAGTGAACAGTAACACTAAAAAATCTAATATCTCTTCAAATTGTATATATAGAGCATTGACATGTAATGAAAAATTGTTTGATTTCTACTGTTAAGATTAGAAAGTCTATGGTCATTTTCAAAATTAATAATGAATATTGAAAAATGACATGCAAAGTATGTTGAATAAAGTTAAATATTCATGTAAAGATCGACTTCATCCTAAGCCTTTTGCACGACTTAAAATATAGTTTTACTTCAAAAAAACGATGAGCTATCTGACTGATTATTCATTTAACAGTTCAATTAAAAATGATTACAATAGTAGATATCGTCGAGTGTTATCCTTAATTTAGTATTTAGAAACAAGACTTAAGTTAAATTTTCTGAATTTGAATGCTCGATATTTAACTGTCTTTCATTTTTTTGATAAATTTTTTGTGTCATTCTACGGATTTAATCATTTTTGTTGAACAACAATACACTAGTATTCAACTAAAATTGTTTTGTTGATTAATACTTTGCTGTTCATTTTTTTCAAGACGAATGCACTACTAGTTAATAATGTAGTTTCACCAAAAAATATTCAAGATTAGATTGTAAGTCTAAACCAATAGAATACGTACAAAACTTCAAATATTTATGAACTACCCATTTCAATAAAGTTCAGTTAGAATTCATATGCATATATCTGAAAAACTGATATTAAGATAAGGCGACAATTCTTTTTTCAGCATATGCTTTATCACATTTTTTATGACTTTTTTTCGTCGGAAAAAAAGAAACAAATAGAACATGGTTTCTTTTCTGGTCTTAGAATAATGTACTCGTTGCGCATGGTTGAAATGGTTTTACAACATTAATGCTCAGTCAAAACAAAACCTCTCTGTGGCTATCCTTTTTTCTACTG